ACCTGGGTAAGGAAAGATGCTGATCTGGAATCTCAGACAGGAATCTGAGGGCGCCAGACTGAACCTTAGAGGCTTCCTGGGAGCTGTATACTTGGAGGGGAGAACACCCCAGCAGAGACAGAACACCTGGGAACTTTACCTGCCTTGATTTATCAAGGCCTCACTCAGTGTGACAGCCTCCTTTCCACCCAGGGTTCCAAGCCCTCAGTGCTGTGTGCTCTATTTATGCCATCCCATTTTTTAATTCTGGCAGGTGGGACAGAACTTTTCCCATTTGGGGGGTGGGAAGAATAAGACTTAGAGAGGTTAAGCAATTTCTGCAAAACCACACAGCCAGTAAGTGGAGGGATATGAATTCACACCTGCTGCTTGACTCCTGGCCAAGACTCAGAAAGTGGAATTGACTTTCCTCAAGGTCCTTGTTCTCGGCCCCATGGCTCTGCATGAATGTCCTAATATCTCTGCCATCAGTGAGACAGGATTCACATTTGTCAGCTCCATCATATTCTTAGGGCTCCTGGGAGAGATGACACAGTAATCGAGAGAGGAAAATACCTCCCTGAATTCCATGCCAGTGCCTGGGCCACGCTGGTCTTTTTTTCCATGACTGGACCGTGTGGGCTGAGGCTGGCTTGGTGGACTCTGAGAAGAAGTCCTGGCTCCCTTTGCTTTTACTTCTCAACTTATGGACACAAAAGGGCTAGTGCTGAGGATAAGTGGAGATCAGGCAGTCAGGGGTCAGGGGGCCTGGGCTGGGGGGATCTGGAATTGAGGGGCACCTCTGGGAGAAGAGAATGTGGGAGGTCCTGGAAGGAGCCCTTGCTGGTGCTGAGGTCACCTCTCGAAGCCCGGCTGAGCACCTGCTAAGTGCTAAGCTGCCTTGACACACAGAGAAGTTTATGGTGCTGGCGGTGAGAGGGGCATTTGTGTCTCGCGGTGGGTGTCCTCTGCCATGCACTCACCAGACATCAGCTGCAGGGCTCTGTGCGGAGACCAGCGAACCTCCCTGCCATTCCCAGCCAAAAAAAAAAAAAAATAGAGGCCTCAAACAAACTACCATAGAAAGTCTGAGAGCCCACTCAGAAGAAGATCGTGGGGGCACTTGGTCATGGAGAAGGGACAGCAGGTGGAGGGACAGCCTGAGCTGTGGCAGGAGGGAGAGAGTCTGGAGTTCTGCTCACCCAGAGCCCTCCCTGCTGTGGGAGGGGAGGCTGCAGTCTGATTCTGACCTTGACCAACAGGGTGAGTGCTTGGATGGAGTCTGAGCACAGTGGCATCTGCAGGTTAGTGGCTGTCCTCCGTCCTGTTGCTGCTGAGTGGATGGAGAACCCATGGGGTCCAGCTGCCTCTCTCCTGGGGGACCTCCATGGCCCACACTGGGACAAGCATGGGTTCCTTATAAATCAGTGTTTGCTCTCTGTGGAGACCTGGAGGGTTTGCCAGATCAGTGCACCATACTCAGTGGTCTCCTAATGACCTGAGTGGGATGGAGACCAGGTTTGGAGACATGAATTTGGGTGTCTGGAATGAAAATGATCAGTCTGTTTTGTTTCCAATGAAAGCCCAGGTTTTCCCAACAGCTGTGAGTCTTTGATACAACCCTGTTCCTTCTGGGCCTCAGTTTACCCATTTATAAAAAGAAAGTTCGGCACCTTGCAGAAAGAGTCAGAATGTGATGTGCCATTCGGCTCTGAGCCCACCCAAACCCAACTTATCCTCTGCTCCAGGGTCAGTGTGATCATGACAAAAGGCAGACTTCCTATGTGTAACAGCAGGAGGATTGTGAGGGATTCCAAAAGTAATCTCATTTTTTTTTATGCAAACACAAAGAAAAACATTTTTAAAACCAAGGCTATGGATTTAGAATTTCTCCAGAACATCCAAAAATTTCTTAAGTGACAAAAGCTATACCCAGGGTAAAGGCTCAGAAGAATCAACCTTATGTGAGGTGCCAGCCCAGCTGCGGTAGGGTAAGGTAGACAGCAAGCTGTTCTGTGCCCAAGTCTCCCACGGGTCTCCTGGCCACACAGCCAGGCTCCTGTCTCCACTCCTGCCTAGCTCCTGACACACAAGGACCAGAAGCACAACACCACAGTAGTTTTTGAAGTCCCTGCCAAACAGCCATGTCACTGTGAGCCACATCCTGGTAGAGAGGACACAGCACCATTCAGCCTCTCACATGGTATCAGAGGAGAGAGATCCTCAGGTGAGTGCCTCGATTCAGCCCACACCCTTTGGTCTTGGGTCAGGGTCTTCCTGGAGCACCTCCTGCTTTGACTCAAAGTGAAGTTCCTTTCACACATAGGTGGGGCAGGGGCTCAGGGTCATTGCCAAAAACCTCAATATGGAGAACGGGCCCCCCTTCATAGCCAATCTCAGGAGGGCCTCCTTAGGAAAGCTGGAAAAACAGGCTCAGGCTTTGGTCTCCTTTAAGAACAAGGGGGAAATGCTGAGGTGAACTCTAGTCCTCCCTCAGCCATGGCTACAAAATGCTCCAGAGCCTTCAATGGCTACCCGTGCTGATGGCACAGAATTTGTTATCACCTGGCATTCAAGTTTCTGTCTGGCCTCAGTTGTCCTTCCGCTCTCCTTCCTCCACTAGTGCCCTGGCTACGGGCTCCACTTAGCCAGAAGGTGTCCCCTTTTATAATCTTAACCAATGCCTCGTTCATTATTCCAACAATTAAGACTCCACTACTTGCTGTGTGAGCCCAGGTACATACTAAACCTCTCTGAATACCTACTAGGGACTACTGCTAGGTGGCAGGGATGTAATACTGTTCTTTTAGGCACGTCTTCCTCAATATAGTGCTAATGCTACCCCCTGAATCCCCTCTCCAACTCCAGGGCTTGCCTGGTAGGATCTCTCTCCAAGAAGCACCAGAATTTGGGACTATATTACAGGTTATGCCATTAAGATAGCCTGACTTCAGGATGGTCCCCCGTGACCTCACCACTCCTGCCCGTCTGAGGTCTCTTTCCACCTTGAACTAAAACTAATTTCTATGACAGAGCATGGCCCCTCCACGTGGCTGCGAGAGTGCTTTCATAACAAGGTGACTGCCTCCCAGAGCAAGTGATCCAGGCACCCAGGGAAGCCCTGTGTTCACTGCCAGCGTCCTGTGGCCACGAGCCTTGGTTTTTTTTTTTTTTTTTTTTTTTTGAAGTTTAATATTTTACTACAAAAAGTTTTATACATCTTACAAATATCCAGGAACTCTCTTTTTTGGAAGTGCCTTGAAACTGGTTTAAGTTAAAGATGATTTTGGTATACTCCTGAGTTTTTTTCTGTACTCTCCTTACTTGATCTGCTCAAAATATGAATTCCAAGTTTCAGTAAAATCAAAGCTTGCAACTAATACTAAAATTGGGACAATTAACAGTGAAATCAGAAAGCAGCTGGTATTTATAATCTTCTAGGCATGTGGATCTTATGCTGAGAAATCCACCATTACTAGACTGGTGGTATACACTGAGTGTTGCTGAGAACCACAACTGAAAATGAATGTTTTTTTTATTTTAAAACTAAGCTCATTGATATGAACTCAAAAAGCAATGTAGAGATATAAATAAAGGAGAAGTACACTCAGTGGAACTTATAAATATACAGTTTAAAGTTTCTTATTATTTTGGTAGTAAGTGGAAATACTGTTTTTCAAAAACGTCTCCCTACCCCCAAAGAAAACTTTAAATTCAACAATTTGAAAAAAAAATAAAATAAAATGACCTTTTACTTTTGTCTGAGCACAACCTAAAGCTACACACTGAGTGCATGTGACACATATCCACACAGCTGTGCAGGACTGACCTTGGTGCCAGTGGGCCAGCCATGTGCTTTGGCATGCACAGCCCTGGGTCCCTCCTGGTGACAGCAACGCAGAGCATCATGTTTGTGGTCTCAGTTGTGGACTGAAGAGTCAAGAGGCCATCCCAGCAACTACTGACCTGCCAGTGTCTGAATGACTGGCAAGTCCCGTGACGGTGCAAACCTATGCTTAACATGGAAACCACTAATCTTAGGAGTTCTGGGTGTTGAACTGGTAACTTTTGTAAGTTGGAAGTTTAAAATGGCATATACAAAAGTAGCAAAAGCCTGAAGAATATGAGGAGAGAAGGGGTTTCTCGCACTTAGCATTTACATTTTTCATAAATGTCACAGAAGCCAGGAAATTAAGTGATCTTTGAAAAAAATGCTTTAAAAAGTTTTAAATGTACATGTAGCATAAAAGGCAAAATCTAAGTTATGAGTGTATTCACCACTGGCAATTGTCACAAGAGGTAACTTGAGTTATATGCACATAAACTGTCCATTAATTACAATTACTTAGTACTTCCTCTGTAACAGCTTACTATACTGTACAACAGAAGGTATTCCTGTGGTGTCCACCAAGGCTCAAACTTTAAAAGAATTTAGTATTTTTCTCTTGGCTCAAAGTCTAATGAACTCTCTATAACATAAATCAGAAACTGTTTTTCTTTTAGTAAATAAAAATATAATTTGCAATTATTACAGCCCAATGCACCCACTGCTATGATGATTGGTACAAGCAGTTTCTACAAAACTTGAACCAGCTGTGGTGATGCACCCCTGTGATCCCAGCTCTCTGGAGGCCGAGGATGGCCTGGACAACACAGTGAGATACTGTCTCAAAAAGAAAAACAAAAACAAAACCACCCAGAATTTAGAAACTTCATTTTCTGAAGAAGCTTCACTTGGGGCCAACAGGGCCTTTTGAAGGCTTCTAAATAAAGCATTCAGTGGGGTTTGAGTGACTCTTCAGAAAGTCTGGACATCTGCCCTTCCTCGCATGTTCACTCCAGGTGGGGACTTTTCGTCTGGACAATGGCAAAGGTGTCTGCAGAAGAGTGTGCTTTTCCATAACATCACGAAAAACTTGTGTTTAACTAGAAACTATGGGGTACATCAGAAAGCTAAGTTTAAAAAATAAGATCAGTTATAGCCAGTTTCTTGGATAATGAAGAAAATGACACTGACAGGCCCAGTCCCTACACACAGACCAAAGTCGGTATGAAGTGCTCTGCGTTGACAGGAATGGCCTGAGTCTGGAGTCCCTGGGGCTCCTGATTGCAGAGTGGCACCCATTGCGGGTCTCACAGTGCCTTCTGGTGCCCATTTGCAGAAGGTTTGGTTGATTCTGAATCCCTTGAAGTATTTGATAAGTGAAGCTTATGAAGCCCTAGGGCCTTGAAAAGTTCTTCTCGTACAGCAGAGGTGAATTTTCTGACCAGACACAATGTTGTCACAATGGCAAAGAGCAAATTGTAGGATAATACAATATAGAAATTCCCCAGCCAATTAAACCTTCCAAAGTCTCCAAGTAGATCAAATCTCGTGATTCCCAGAGTTCTTGACATCACAGGTAGAGCAGAGCTCAAGACTAAGATTGATACACAATTACCAATGATCTTTGTCATAGTTGTGTCATCCTTCCTGGGTGTAAAGTTTCCAAAAAATCGGAGACTATAGAAACCGACAACAGAAGACACCATAAGATAGAAAATCAAAATGATTTCAAGTGCAGCTCCCACAAAACCAAATGTAGAGAGAGAGGCATTTCCTATTCCAGGCCCCCTTGCTCCCTTCGGCATTGCTGTTTCATCAACCAGCAGGCAGAGAATATTACAGGCCACCAGTAGGACCGAGATAGCTGTCTCAATAAGAAGTAAAATCATAACAGCGGGATACACCAAATTTCTTTCCCATGCTGAAGCCTTTTTTCGCCTCTCTAGTTTTGTCTTAAGGGCCTTTACATTTTCAAGTTCCTGTTCCAAGTCCATTATGTTGTATTCCACCGATGAAGACAGACCATTTAGCCGTCTCTGGAGTGCTTCTTCTTCTAGGGTAATTATATAAATTTGCTCATCCAGGTCTTCAAGAATTGCTGGCTTCACTAGCAACTGGCCCATTACTGTGAACATGCGGGAAAGGCCAACTGGTGTACACAAGAGAAGTAACAAACATCCCATCAATGATATACAGGAATATAAATAGGGTAGGTAGAACTCCCAGAGGTCATATAAAGATTCCATGCTTGCAGCATCGTTGTCAATCAGTGCTGAAGCCACCCACACTATCCCAAGAATCAGTAATGCCAGCAGCAGCAGCATGACCAGAGTTTCCAAGATGCGGGCTCGTATCCCCTTTTTCAGGCCAGCAAATCCTTCTGATTCCAGAAAGAAAAATGCAAAGGGCATCAACACAAATAAACAAAGGTTGGAAAAGAGAGACGCAAGATTCCACAAACCTAGTATGCTGAAGGCCCGGGTTCCATCCCCAACACCACCATGAATCAGGGAGCCATTTAGCCACTGAATATAGTAGTTTTGAGGAAAAGAAAGCAGGATTTCATTGCTGATTATTGAGAAGGGTAAAAGCAAAACAGCCCCAGCTGAAACTGCTAAAGTGAAGGTGCTCAAAAACAACGAAATCCTGTTGACTATGGCATCTTCATCTTCTTGTTCATCTGATTTTCTCTTGTACCTTGTGATGATGAAGTAGGAAACGATGTACAGAATGGCAAAAAGAAGAAAACATATCGTGCACTCCCGCACTTGGCTGTGGAAGTGCTGCTCCCGCGCGGACACCTCGTCCTGACCGTCCATCCTCCTTCATGCCCGCCGCCCCGCCGCCCGCGTCCGCGCGCTCCGCCGCACCATCGTCCGCCGACGCACGGGCTCGCACGGCCGCGCCGGGCCCGGGCCGCAGCGGAGTCTCGACACCGCCTCTTCAGCCGCCGCCTCAGCCGACGGGAGACGCCGCTCAAGCGGCCGAGCCTTGGTTTTAAAAATGTTTTTCTTTGTGTTTGCATAAAAAAAAAAATGAGATTACTTTTGGAATCCCTCACAATCCTCCTGCTGTTACACATAGGAAGTCTGCCTTTTGTCATGATCACACTGACCCTGGAGCAGAGGATAAGTCGGGTTTGGGTGGGCTCAGAGCCGAATGGCACATCACATTCTGACTCTTTCTGCAAGGTGCCAAACTTTCTTTTTATAAATGGGTAAACTGAGGCCCAGAAGGAACAGGGTTGTATCAAAGACTCACAGCTGTTGGGAAAACCTGGGCTTTCATTGGAAACAAAACACACTGATCATTTTCATTCCAGACACCCAAATTCATGCTCACCCCTGCATCAGCACCGGGCAGCTCCCCGCCCTCGCCGGCTGGGTGGGCCACAGACCAGCTGCTCCTCCAGCTCAGTGCACCCCCTCGCCCCGTCTCCCCAGCTCTGGATGCTTCCTGCAGACTGTTCCCTCAGGGAAGGTCTCCTCAGCCCCGTGAGCAAGTGAGGTCCCTGTTCCCTCAGGCCCAGGATGCCACACACACAGTGAGAGGGGAACACGCCTTGGCCCAGCTTGGACTGCCCAGGGACAGAGTGGCCCCGCTGCTCACGCACACGTGGATACCTGTCAGTATACCTGTCTGTTTCTGAGGCCCACTGAGGCCAGCTCCCAGGCCTGGCCCACACCTACGCTGGTGGGAAATGAGAGGAAACAGGCTGACCCAGGCATGGAGTTTTCCTGGCAAGAACAGCTTTATTTCTCTCATGGTCTCCAACCCCAAGTGCTCTAACCCAAAGGGAAGGCATAAGAGTGCCTTGGAAAGATCATTAAAAGAAGCTCCTCCTTGTACCTGGGCTGTGACACATTTTCTTCTCTCCCTTCCTATTCCTTGGCTTCCCCTGGCAGGGAGCAGGGAGCAAGCAAGCTCATTCCAGGCAAAAGCAGCAGAGACCACCCCGCGGGGGCAGGGGGGTTAGTGGAGGACGATATACCCAGCACGGCAGGACAGAGTGGCTGTGAACTTGGGACCCACGGGTATGCCTGGGTGCCAAAGGAGCCAGGCCCTGTGGCTGGTCCCAGGAATAAGCAGGGCCAGCATACTCTCACCCCTCCAACCCCCGTGTGCTTCAGCTATTGGCCTCTGCCACGATGCTGTGTGAGCCTGGGGTCACAGGTCCGACTGGCCACCAGAAAACATGCCCACAGAGCCCAGGAGGGTCAGGCCTAGAAGATGTGTGCTGAGTCTCTGTCCCCACCTGCTGCTTCAAAGGGCAGGGGCATGGGAAGGAAACACACATAGGCAACGGGTAGAAGGATCGGGTGGGGCTGGGTCCAGGGGAAGCCTGGGGGGCAGCATGTGGCTCTTCTCCTGGTCCCTTCAAAGGAGGGATGCAGTGGGGAAGTGCTTAAGGATTTAGGCCCCAAGGGCAGACAGAGCTGGTATGAATCTAAGCTCCACTTCTTGCTGTGTGAGCTCAGGCATGTTGCTTCACCTCTCTGAGCCTGTTTCTTCATCTGTAGAATGGACTTTAAGGATCATGGAGATGCTCTCCATTCAGGGCCTACTACATAGTGAATGCTCAATACATGGAAGCTGTGGTGGTTACTCCAAAGAACCAGGGCCAACTCTCGTAGTGATACAATTTATTTGCAAAATCAGCCTCTGGGTGTCTGCACCCCTCGTTGCTCAGCAGCCCCTCTGTTCCCAGCTTAGGGCAGGCTACAGATGGCACAGTTGAGGCCTGAGAGAAGATGGACAACCTTGATGGAATCCCTTGAACTGGGGCTCTTCACTCCTCATCTGACAGTACTTTTAGCTAGGAGAATAAGTGGGGGCAGCCTGGGGGGTCTGCATTACTTCCTGGGGGACAGTGGGGTGGCTGAACAGGAGCCCAGGAGGAGCTTCTGACCTTAGCTCCTCCAGGAGTCAGGCAGACCCCAGGCCTGCTGGGGTGAACCCCAGGGTGCAGCGTTACACCAGCGGGTCAGCTCAGGGCACTGAGAGGGCAGAGGGCCTTCAGTGGTGGGTTCCTCCTGCTGGCTCTGCAGGGCAGGGTGGTGGGATGCCCCTGTTAGCAGCCCCGGGCAGGGGGAATAAAGGCCTGATGTCTGGGCTCCAGGGCCAGCTCTGGTCCCAGGGCAAACTACTGAACTATAGTCAGTAACGCCCTGAAAGGACTGACCGCGGGTGCCAGGGGCTGGTGTCCAGGGGCCGCTGCTTCCTCACAGTGTGGCTGCACTGGGCCCAGGCAGCTCCCCCGAGGGCCGCAGGCTCCCTGACCGAGAGACAGGAGGCCCCGGGCTGGTGCGCAGCTCCTCCTCGAGGGTTCTGTAGTAGGGCACTAGGCCCTCGGCTCCAAGGTCATGGCTACTGCAGACAGTGATGCCCAGGCTGCTGTCCCGGGAGCATCCCTCTGAGACCAGCAGGATGGGGCAGCAGCCCAGGGAGCATGAGGACCCAGAGAGGAGGTCGGAGCCCACCGAGACAGCCTGGAGCGGAAGGCAACAAGATGGTCATCAGGCCCAGATGCCCGGCCACAAGAGCACAGCGGCTGTCGGGGGTGGGGTGGGGGGGTTCTGCCAAAGGAGAAGCACCTGGCAGTGCCACTAACCCATCCAGAGGCAACAGTGGGGAGGGCGGAGTCTGGGATTCAGAGCCACCTACCAACTCCCCCCACTGTGTGGGCACAGTTCACAGGGCCCAGCCTTGGGGGGCTGGTGATAGGTATCCGTGAGGTTATAGGGGACAGGTTGGGGCCAAATCCCAGCCTTGCTACTTGCTAGTTTGTGTCCTTGGCCAAGTTATTTAACTTCCTTGAGACTCACTTTTCTTATCTTTAAAATGGGAATAATAATATGACTCACAGAACAAACTAGGATTAAAGGAGCTGAGGCGCGCGAAGCATCTGTCTGGGTGTCTGGCAAGTCAGAGGTTGCTGTGAGCTCAGCTCCAGGGCAGGCCCTCTCAGTGCGTCACCATGTGCAGCGCTCACGGGGCTCTCAGGGAGGCCACTATGGCTCCCTTTCCCTTCTAAGAAAGCTGAGGCTGAACAGCATTCACCAGGCCACTTTCCTAACAAGGGGCAGAGCTGGGATTCAGTCTCTTCCACCCGAAATCTTAACGGGTGACCAATGACTCTGAAAGCCCCAGAGAGCCCTCTGGAGCCTGGCCAGTGTCCTGTGGAGTGGGGGCCTTGGTGGAGAAGTCTGGAGCATGTCAGGGACCCGGGGCTCCCCCATCCTTCCGCAGTCTCTCAACTCACAGAGCACTTGTCCCTAACAGTCATCCTGCAGAAACAGCCACCCTGTGCCTCCCTGTTGGGGAGTGGGCTTTGGGGGCCCCTGCACCACCCGTTGGGAGGGGCTAGGCTGGAGAGGCTCTCCTCCTCTGAGCGGAAGTAAGGGCAGAACCCGCTGGGTGGCTCGGAGTCCTTTGGGAACGGTGTCTTTGGGGTACTCCAGCCTCCTTGGTCCCTGAGAAACTCAGCCTGTGGGGCCAGCTCCTCCTCATCCTGGAGCTGCTCATAGGTGCGAAAGAAAGGCAGGTACTCTGAGGCCACCAGAGTCCTGTGGGGGAGCTCGAGATTGCTGAGGGAGTCCTTGCTCTTTGAACTGGTGGCCTGTAATTGCTGGGACAGGGACTCCCGCTCCTTCACCTCCAGGAGACTTGGAGAGGATGAGGCTGTGGACTGGCTTTTGCAGCTCTTCTGGGACATCTGGGAAGACAGGGGTGTCCCATCTGTTCCTGGACCCCAGCTGCCTCCCCAGTCTTGCCCCCATTGGAGGTCAGAGAGGTCTCCCAGAGCCCACCCCCAACTGTGGTTCTCCTCTGTGAAAATGCAGCAATGGCTTCCAGCCAGGGTGAGAGGGGCCAAGAGCCCCAGGGACCGAGGCCCTGCAGAAATCTACAGCCTCATCATGGGTCCTCGTCCGCTATCCCCTCCCTACCCATCCGTCCTCTTACCGTTCCTCAGTCACACCACATTTGGAAGCTACGCCCAAGCTTGTTCTCAACTCTCAGCTCAGAAAACCCTTCCCAGGTACCTGGCTCCCCCAAGTTGACTTAGATCTCTTCTCCCTCAATGAAGGATTTGTCTCTGGGCTGCCTGTTCTGTGTTTGAGAAGGTCTTGCCTATCTGGTGCCCCTGGCTCATAGTAGATACTCAATTGGTACCTTTTCAAATCTGTTGACTCTAAGCCTGTCTCATATTCCTGTTACTTTGTTCAGTCCTGCCATACAGACCTTCTCTTGACCTTTCTCTCCTGACACTCACACCTCTGCCACAAGGCCTTTGCATTTCCTAATGGTCCTTCCTACCTCTCCTTTTCTCTAAGTGATAGCTTTCTCGGTGCTTGGCTCAAGGTCACTTTCCTTACCTCCCTGGCTTATTATATCACTTTATTAAAGAAGGGTGGATGGAAGAAAAGAGGTACAAAGAAAGAGAATATCAAAAGGGACTTGGCCAGAAACTAAGTGCTTGCCAGATTCCATGTTGGTAGAGGGAGAAGCCATGTCTTGGAAACACCATGGAAAAGGGAACGAAGATTACTTCTCAGGCTGAGGGGACTTAGAGGTCTGGAGTCTTTGAAGTGAGTGAAAATCCAGCCTGTTTGCCTGTCTGGTCATTCCCAGAGCTCATGGATACATGGTAGGGCCCTTGACCCCGAGTGAGACCTCAGCTGTCCCAACGTGTAGACTCTGAGTCCTACGGGAGGGCCCATTGTGGTCTGGCCCCTGGTCTCCCTGGCTCCACTGGGGCCTTGGGGCCTTGAACCCCCTTCTACTGCCACATGCCCATGTGGTCGGTGCTAGGCCCTAACTTCCTGCATGTAGCCTGGCCACAGAGGTTCCCTTTTAGCAAGAACCCTGGGAAGGTGCTGGTGCATGGAGCTCCTCAAGAACTCCTCAGAACTGAACTCTAAGCCCCAAGTACCAGTCCGGGGCCATCTTTGCTTGGTTCCTGCCACCTAACACTCTCCACTGTAGTCTGGGGTCCTTTCTCTGCCAGGTAATCCTGAGGAGCCTGCCAGGATGGACTCACCTTAGGCTGAGTGGTGGCACCAGGGCCTGAGTCCTCGTCTGCCCTCCTCTAAAGCCTGCACTCTTGGCACTGGGACTTGTATGTTGCTGCATGTCCCATGGCAGCTACGCCCAACTCCTAACCCCTTGTACCTGTGAGCACGACCTTATTTTAAATAGCATCTTGACAGATGGAACCAGATTAAGATGAAGTCCTGCTGGTTAGGGTGGGTTCTACATCCTGTTACTGGTGCCCATATCAGGTCAGGGAAGTCTGGACACAGCCACACAGGGAGAAGGCCAGGTGACCATGGAGACTGGAGTAATGCAGCCACCAGCCAAAGACTGTTAGTCATAGCCATCCTAGAACGGAGGCATAAAACAGATCCTCCCTCTGAGCGCCCAAGAAGGAACCAATCCTCCCTTGATTTTGGATTTCTGGCCTCCGGAACTTTGAAAGAATAAATCAGGTGGTTTTTTTTTTGGGGGGGTGGGGCACAGAGGATTGAAGTCAGGGGCACTCAACCACTGAGCCACATCCCCAGCCCTATTTTGTATTTTATTTAGAGACAGAGTCTCACTGAGTTGCTTAGGGCCTCGCTTTTGCTGAGGCTGGCTTTGAACTCGAGATCCTCCTGCCTCAGCCTCTGGAGCCACTAGGACTATAGACGTGCACCACGGGTGCCCAGCAAATCAGGGTTTTTTTAAGCCACCAAATTGTGGTGACTTGTTATGGCAGCCCTAACACATGTAAGTGGTTTGGATGGCTTCTTTGTTTGAAGGAGAGAATTTAGCTCCAGGGTTCTCCCAGTTCGGCCTTGTGGGGAGAAACCTGTTGTCGTGACCACAGTCCCCTCCATGGGAGGCTCATTGAAGGCCTTACCCTTTCTGCTATCCAGAGGGTGCTGGCTGGGGCGGACTCCCCCATGGTGTGGGCAGCACTCTCCCACACCTCAGTCTTTCCCACGGGGGCCCTGGCTCCACTTCACCGGCGAGTCCCGGTTTGCAAGAGGCCAGGTGTGACTCCACAGACTCCTCAGAAGGCCCTCAGCAAAATGGCACATGCACAGTGCCACTCACACTCTCCAGCAGGCTCCACCACAGTGTCCTGTGTTGGAGCCAGCAGTGTCCCCGGGGCCTGATAATTAAGCCTGATCTTCAGACTCAGATGGGAAAGAGAAAGCACCTCACAGGCCTCCTCCTCCTCCTCCTCACCCTGGCAAATGCCCCTCTGCCTGCCCAGAGAAGATTCCACCATGAAGTCACAAGGCCTGGTGCCAGGCAGGAAAGCCAGATGGCTCTGTTACCATGGAGACTCCTGCCCAAGCGTCCAGCACCTGTGGTCCTCACCTGCCTCTTCATTCAGATTTCCCCCAAGAGATTCAGGGGAAACAAAGAGAACCCAAACGTCTTCTGGTATTAGATCAGCTCTCCAGGGCGGGGCCAGTGAGCTCGCCCGGGGACTCTGCCCAGAGACTTCTGGGTGACGGGCACCTCAGTGGAAGGTGAAGGGAGGTCCCAGGGGTCTGCTCCACTAAAGTCCAGACAGCTGGAATGAGCTGCCTAGGGCTGTGTGGATGTCCCCTCCCCTGGGCACCCCAGCCTCTCAGTCCCCTCAGGGCCGTGGCCTAGACATGGGTCTCAGCCCTTGTCACTTGATTTCAGCTGCTGGTTCTCTGTGGTCACTTGTGAATGGAGACAGTTATGGGAGAACAGGGGTGTGGAGCGTTTTCTTCCTCCTGCAGAGCCACCATCTCAGTCCTGTCCCTGAGGCCTGGTGCTCCTGCTCAGAGGGAAGGGACCAGTATTGTTGACACCATCTCTGTGTCAGCGACCACCCTGGGCAATTCCCACATGGTGTCAGGACATCCTTAGGAGAAGCTTTCAAGTCTCCAGAGTTGAGCCACTTCACAGACAGGAGGATTGAGCCTCAGGAAGGAGGGCTGGTGTTTGTGTCTAGCCTTAGGAGTGAGCAAGGGAACCTGCATCCCCCAGGATTCCCCAGGGCTGTACCCCAGCAAGGCGTGGCCCAGCAGGGTTCTCCTGCCCCCGCCCCAGGGTGCCCCCATCTCTCCACCTTCCTCCTCCGCTCCTGACCCTGCCGCCTTCCTGCAGCTGGGCCATCTGAACTGACTTTGCTTTTTTACTTTTTAATAGACTTAACTTTAAATCCTTGTGAAGTTTATTCTTTGTAAGTGGTAACAGGCTTCAATGTTACGTTGTACTTTGAATGATCCATTGATCAATATCTTTTATGACTGATGCATTTCTCCCCCAACTTGATTTGAAATACCAAAGTAACCCTATTATAAACTCACGTTAGTTTCTAGAATTTATTTTCTTTGTCTCTCTTGATACCCATAACCATATTATTAGGACCTCTTTAATTTTATATAACTAATTCATATTATATAGTTATACTTCAAATCAATTCTATTAATGGCACGCACACACACACACACACACCATAAAGTGTACTGTTCACAAATCTATATGCCCATGTAACAGTCCCCAAATTAATAAATAGAAATGCCTCTTTTCAAGTAATGCCTCCCTGCTTCTCAGCCCCAAGTAACTACTGATTTGCTTTTGGATACTATATTACTGTTCTAGAATAAATGGAATCTCGCAGCAGGCACTCTTTCAGGGATACCTAGCTTCCTTTTTTTCAGCACTATGTTTTTAAATTCGTCCCTGCCGTGTCGTGTCATTTGCTCCTTTTTATCGATGACTAGCGCAGCATTGCATGGTATAATGCAGTTTCTGTAGCCACTCATCTGTGCATAGACATTTCAGTTTTTTCCATTACAAATCATGCTGCTATGAATAGTTATGCACAAGATTTTGTGTAAGAGTAGTTTTTATTTCTCTTAGGTAAATAACTGGAATTCAAAGAGCTTGATCATATAGTAAGTGTATGTTTACATAAGAGACTGCCTAATTGCTTCCAAAGTGGGTGTGTTATTTTTGCATTCCCAACAGCAATGTATAAAAGTTCTAGTTTCTTTAAATCCTCACCATGATTTTTTAATTTTTGCCATCCCGGCAGATGTCGAGTGGTGTGCCTTTATGGTTTTAATTGTATTTTCCTGACGACCGAAGATGTTGAGAATCATTTCATGTGCACATTGTCAATTTGTGTCTTTTCATTCGTTAAGCATTCAAATGTTTTACCCATTTTAATAACTTAGTTGATACAATTAAGTCCAATTTTTACAAAAATTTACAATTTATTTAAATAGTAAATTTGACCAGTTTTCACCTACCGAAAACAGGAGAAACTATCACTACAGTCAGGATAGTCAAACATTTCTATCAACACTTAAACTTTCCTCTTGTGCTTTTATAATCCACCCTCCCAGCATTCCCATCTCCAGGCTATCACTGACCTGCTCTCTGGCACATTCTCTAGAATTTCAGATAAATAGAATCAAGAGTAGATACTTTTATTTGACTTCTTTTACTCGCCATAATGCTCTTGAGAGTAATCCATGTTGTTTCAGTCAATATATTGTTTCCTCTTCTCTGTAGAGTGGTATCCCACTGCACAGACAGACCACAGTTGTTATTCTACTACATGTTCTGTGAATTTTTCTCTATTTTTTTTTTTTTTTGATACCAGGTTGAACCCAGGGGCACCTAACCACTGAGTCATATCCCCAGTCCTTTTCATTTTTTTTTTTTAATTTTAAGACA